ATAAATAAATAAAATATTAAAATTCCTATGTACCCAGACTTTGCAGACACCCTGTATTTTTGTAGGTAAGTAGATTTGGCAGAGCTGCCCTCCCCTGCTAGTTAGGGTTTATGGATACTCTTCGTGTTCGGTTGTCCAAAATAGCGTTCGTGAGAAAAAATCGCAGAGGACTGGGTGATTGTTTTATTAAACCTCCTCCCTCCCAACGTTGTCAGCGAATATGCGATGAAAAATTGTAAAGAGTAACACGTCCAGGATGGCTTACTTCTTTCGACATCAAGGGAATCCTTCACGTTGAGTTTCCTCCTAACATCACCCAAGTTAACTAACATATTAGTATGTGCAAGCGTTGGAACGATTGCGTGAAGCAGTGAGAAAAATACAGCCTGAATTGTGACGATAGGGGAATGGCTGCTTCATCGCGACAACGCGCCCGCCCATACACAGCATTCAAAATCAAACATTTGTGATTTTAAAAAACGACATGACAACGAATTCCTGTTCCCCCTAATGGCTCGATCTAGCCCGCTACGGCTTCTTTCTTGCAAGAATGAAGAATTACCTAGAGAGAAGGCATTTACAGAACGCAGAAGTTAAGGAAAAAATCGTTGGAGGCACTCAACAACATTTGTTCAACGGAATATAAAGAAATGTTTCAAACAATGGAAAACCCGTTGGCACAAGCGCATACATTATTTAATAGACAGTATTTTGAAGGGAATTAATATTTTAAGATGTTATCTTAAATGCCAAAAATCGGCAGGACTGACTTCAGAGGTCTTTTCTGCCTTTGACTTATAACAATAACCTACTTTAACATTGTCAATAACCCGACTTTCCCATTTTTCGTTCAATTCCGTCAATAAGGTCGAAGTTCCCTCAAGTAGCATCCGTTCCCTGCGCAACAGGAGTCTATGTTGATAGAATTTCATTCTCTTTAGTATATTGAAACAAATATAACTTTATTTATTTTAATATTTTTGATCACTTCCGCCAAAATTAAATATTAATTTACGCTCACCAACCAAGAATTAAATGTTTGACCACAAAATACGTTAGACAGTCTTGTGGGGGAAATATTTATGCTATTTTATTAAGTCAGTCGTCTACAGGGAAGTATACGCATAAACAAAGGGCAGCGAAGTGACCCAAGGCACCGTCTATAATCACTGGGTCTGCAGCAGGCCACTTTCCATTGTGAAATTAATTTTCAACCCCGCCTATACCTCGCACTTAAGTAAGGAAGGATTAAACCTTCTAAGTAATCACAAGATTCTAAGGTACCACAACGGGTAAGACTAAAGGTGCATCCTTACCACTCCTATGCTAATATAGGACAGTTTGATCATCATAAACGATAATTTTCGCCGGATATGCCATTGAGTGCGCGCAGCAGAGGTGACTTGTGCCTGCACTGGCTTATAGTGGGGCAGAATTTCGCAGAATCGGCCGCACCCTCTCCGCCCTCTACCCATCTTTACCCAATAGCAAAATAATGCCAAGACAACCATAGGTGGACGTGATTGCAGTTGATTACAGAGTTCAACAGCCCGTGTGGGTGTTCCACATATAATGGGGTCCCTACCGCATGTACCAGCATGAACTGCCCGGATCCCACAGGCGTAAAAGTGCACTTAAGGCCACCCGAAGAATGAACCCTTGTAGCCTGACTCTTAGTCCTCCAGACACTTCACTATATTTACCGTGAGGAATAAACTATCCCGTCCTGCATGAAATATCCGGTCGGATTGGCGTCCGTTTAAGGAAAAAAAAGTGGAAAACATGCGAATTATCGGACGCAGATGTTGCTGCCTAGATAACTGGGCCAGAATAACGAACATGGAAGCAATCATGATTTTCCCCCTTTCAATCTCACCTTTCCCCACTGACATTCGCGAATGCGGGGTCACTGGAATTGCAGATAGCCTCAGGATATGAAGTGAATGAAAGACGTTGGAAGGTGTTTTCCGGCAGTTGGTAAGACATGTAGGAGGTAGAGCTGGTGGAAGCAACCGAATGGAAAGTGCTGCAGGTGGGGCGAGAGCAGGACCCCGGTGAACTGATTGCCTGCTCCTCCTCAAGGTCACTCCAAGTGGGTTTCACGGTCACGGGCAGTCCGAGGGGGTCCAAAAAGACGCGCCGCAAAAAGAGGCGTACGGTGAGCTCCTCCTCAGGAAGTTCCCCTGAAGCGTTTAGAGAAAGGAATAGCAAAATTATATGGTCTGAATCGGGACTGTACATGTGATGACAGTGCCACCGTCGAGTTCGCGATTCTGCAAGTAGAAGGCAAA